AGAAAGTCTATTATTCTCAAAAGCAATCAATGCTTAAAAAAATGTTGGATTAATGAGTTTGCTCAAGCTAGAAATAAGTGCATAGGTGTCAAGGTTAGATCTAACAGAAGGTTATCGTTTGCTGTCAAGTTGGAATCAACTCATAGCTGACCCTGCAGCAGCTTTTCAGACAGTAAATCACATGGGAGGAACTTGCCCATCCTTCTCCTGCAGAGCATCTGGTGGAGTTGAACTCCATACCTTTGGAATTACAGCACAACTTCTTATCATCAGTCCCTCAGAGCCTACCCTCCCACTGAAGACTTTCCCAGTCTTCTCTGTGATGCTAGCATGATGTATACCCAGGCTTCCTGAAATCTGATGCAACCCTCCCTGCCAAGACTCTGAATGTAAAGCTAGCAGTTTAAGATAGAGGGGATTGGTAACACTCGCCATTAAGCAAATTTACACTCTTGGGCCAGCAGCAGCCGTTGGTACTGGTAGCAGCATCCTGCATGCAGAGCCAGCCATGGAAAGAGCAGGCTGTAGCATTTGTGCCAGCAATTGCAAAGAGGCTGCCTCTTCAGGACTGTTTCTGCTGCCTAGTTCTGTAGTGCTCTAGGTGGTGTAGTTCAGCACTTTAATTTTCTAGCCTTGTGGTGACCCCATGAGGAGTCCAGCTATCTTTTTTAAGAATTTCATTAAATCAATCAGAATTCATTTTCTCTTTTATTTTTTTCAGAACTCATTTTTATTATTAGCAACTGTAAGCCCTGACAGATACACAGAGGTTTTAAGTATATGGCATATAATTTTCAATATTCTTTTCAGTACAAAGAAGATCAGGTAAAATTCCAGGGATCTAAAAGCCTGAGCTATTCCCAGTGGGACTGAGTGACCTGCTTGTTCAAGGAACAACTGGCCTGGATTTTACCCCTGTCTTTCCTCAAAGCAGGGGGCAAGAATAGATCTGATTATACCTTTGGGACCTAGAGTAACTTTCCTTAAAAAGAAAAAGAAAACACACACACACACACACACACACACACACACACACTGCCTGTTTTGTAGGGTCAAACTTTCCTGCTCTGTGATAGACTCAATGTTAGCACCAGATGAGACATATTAAGGACCACAGAGAGCTGGGATTTGGTTCTAGCCAGCCATTTCTGGGAAGTCTGAAGGATGAGATGGAATGGCTTTGTTTGTAAGCCAGGGAACAATGCCATGGAGAAGAAACAAAAGCTGAGGCTGGGTCCTTTGCCAGCCTCTGAGAAGCGAGCTTGCCTGAGGACAGAGAACTTGAGTGACACTCTGAGGAGGCTAGTGAGTGGAAGATTTTAATCTATGTACTTGTAAAAACAAAGTGGCAGCTGTAAGTGAGGCAAAGTCTGACTTCCACTCACTTCACAAGGGGAAGGACAACTCCAATGAAGTCAGACATGACCTAATTCTATTGCTAACCCTCCTCCCAGGACTCTTACTGCTCTCCAAAATAGTTTGTGAATTCCTTGCCATGGGCACATAGAATTCACAGATAATCTGATCATGAGGTTTATTAGGAGAGTAACATGTTACTATTCATATTTGAAACACTCAGGGTACAAGTCTTCAATTAGGCAGGTTTTTCTCTGACAAGCTCTCAGGCAGGACCCTCAGCCTCATTTTGGTTTCAGCCTTATGCTCATGAAAAGTGTTGCAAAGTTCTTTTAGTTCTGACAAAGATATACAACCCCAACTCCACCAGCAAGCTTAGGCCTGAATACATTTGACACTAGTTCTGTGGGCAGACCCACAGCAACTTTGTCTTTCATCAATCCCTCCCTGATTCTCAGCCACCTCTACCACTTGCTGCTGCTGTGGCTTCCACTGCCACCTCTCTGTTTTGCTTTTTCTCTATTTTGCACAGGAGACCCCAGCCCTGAGGACACACTGCTGCTTCTTTCTTGATAGTAGTGAGAATCCTGTTTTCTGCCTCTGAGCCTGCTCAATTTAAGCGTCAATTTTGGCACATGGTAAAACTGACCAATCCCCACACTAGTGATTTATCCATTTTAGTTGTATTTTCTTGCCCCAAAGGTGCAATTTCCTTATTTACATTGTGAATAAGCATGTAAGCTCTTTGGTGGGCTACAAATATCAAGATTTGCATAGTTCTGGCCAGCTGTAGAATTAGGGTTACACTGACGATGGCTAGACAAGCCATACTGAATAAATCACTATGGCACAGGGCTGTTTGCTTGTCAACTGCCAGTGAGGTCATCGGGTCAGGTATTCATTTCCCTGACATTGCCTGTCCTCATAATCAACCTGCTTTCTGGAGCACTAACTAATGCTTCACTCCTTCTTCCTTACTGAAACCTATTTTGAACACTAAAATTAGACTGTGCATTCATCTCAAGCATAACACATAACTCATAATGTAATGCTTTTTGCTGGTCTCAGAGCCCTTCTCTCTGGCTTAATGAATAAGGTACCAGTTGTAGTGAAAATGAGGTATGGCTGAAGATCACATGCCAGTCACAGCAAAATCTCTTTAGATAATGAGAATTGAGTCAGAAGGAATGCAGTGTAACTACATGAAGACAATTTTCTATCTTTAGTCTCCTCTTCCACAGAAGGTATCATGGATTGAATTGTATCCCACCAAAATATGTGTTAGCTTGGCCAGGCCATGATTCTCAGCACTGTACAATTATCCCATGTGTTATAAAACGTAACCTCTTTGATGTCAATGAGGAAGGGTTTGAGGTGGCTATGTTATAATGTACTCATTCCCTTCTAGATCAGTCAATCTGTTTTAAGGGAATCAGGGTGAGATGCAACAACTTTAATTACCTTACAGCTTTGATCTGATGAAAGGAGAGTTTCTTCAGGTTAGGCCTACATCACCTTTTGTCTGACAAGAGATACTAGGGAGGAAAGCAGGCAGAGAGAGGGGGCCTCAGCACTATCAAGAAAGAAGATTAAGAGAGGAGTAAGTTCTTGGAGAAAGATACTTGTTCTGCAAGACTTTGGTGAGAGTGAGATCCTGGTGGTGGAGAGAGCGACATTGCTGTGGACAAATGGTGGCAAGGTGTGACTTGAGGCTTCTTGCATTTGTACTGGTCACATCTGGATTTTGCTGTTCTTGCCTTTGATGGTGGAAGGAAAAGCGGCTTGCTGAATTGAAAATGGAGCCTGGCCTAACTGAGGAGTTGTGCCTTGGAAATGTTGGGCTAAAACCTGCACTCATTTTGAGTGATATTGTGATGTTCTCTGCCTCCCACACTCTCCAACTTCCTTCCCTAATAAATCCCTTTGTTGGTACCATAACTGTGAATCTGTGAGTCAGCAATGAATAAAATAATCTCTTCTTGTCGGTGGGGGTCTACAGGTACCATAGGGCTGGGCTATGGGCTCCTGATCCACTTTCTGCTCTAGGGTAGTGAGGGGCTGTATCATTCTTACTCCGTCTGTCCCTTTCAGAGAGATGCTCATGGCCCTGTTCCTCTATGACCCGTTTCCTCCCTACTTATAAACGCCTCAACATGAGAGAAGCAAAATATATAAAGATCTCCAAGGAATTCCACACTTAAGCATGTCGAGAAAAACAAAGACCTTCCTTTAGACCTTACAGATAAGAGAATGCTGGCACTTTGACTTTTCACACCTAAATTGTGAGAAAACAATCCTCTGTTAAAGTTATCTGTCTGCATCTCTGTTGTAGCAACATTAGAAAGTAAGACAGGGCAAGGGAACTAAGACTTGGTCCCTCCCAATAATATCATCCTCATTTTTCTAATGTAGTACCTAAAATACCTAGCTAATATTTTTGATACATAAACAAAAATATAGATACTCAAGCTACAAAGGAATTAGCAATATATGCACATTGTTGCCCCAAATACAATGAGTTGATAGATATGTCTCACAGTTTAGGAGGCAACAGGTCTGAATCCCAGGGACCAGCTTTATGGAAGGTTTCTCTCTCTGGCAGTTCTGAAGGAAGGTTATTGTCTCTGAGCTTCTGCTTCTGGATGGTCTTCCTGTTGCTTAATGAATCTACTCTTCTATTTGAGACACATGACTGGCACAGCAGGATAATGTCCCAGGTTAGGGCAATGTCTCAGCTGAATCTGGTATATTGGTGCCCTCACAGAAGTGGAGACGAGTGAAAGATTCTTCTTTTCAATCACTTGCTAGGCTGCTGAGAGCTGGACAGTAAATAAAGATGACAGAAGGAAAAGAGTACTGAAGATCCTGTGGACCAGTAAAAGAAAGAACAGACACGTCTTGGAGAAACTGCAGCCAGTGCTGCTCAGAGGCTAGGATGGCCTAGGTTCAGCTCACATATACTTCAGGCATGTTGCTAGGAAAGTTGTATCTTGGAGAAGGACATTGTGCTTGAAAAGGTAGAGGGAAGATGAAGGAAAAGAAGACCCTCACTAGGTGAGTTGACACAGTGACTATGGCCATGGGCCCAGGTGTGTCAGAGATTGTGAGAGTGGCTCAGGGTAGGACAGGGATCAGATCTGCTGTTCCTAGGGTTGTTATGAGTCATATTCCAACCTAGGGTTGGTATGAGTCATACTCCACTCAATGGCACCTAGCAACAACAACATTTCTGAGACAAAGTATCATTTCAAAACCACTTTAAAAAAGACAAATATTTTATTGGAGAAAAAAAAATCACTTCCAATTGACACATCTACAGTCCCTGGACGGTACAAATGGTTGACACATTCAGCAGCTAACCAAATGATTAGAGGTTAGGGTCCATCGTTCATGTAGAGGTGTCTTGGAAGAAAGCCCTCACTATCTACTTCTGAAAACTCAGCCATTGAACACCTTGTGCGGCATAGTTCTACTCTGACACACTTGAAGTTTCCATGAGTCAGTGTTAAACCAACAATAATAGATTTGTTTTGTTTTTACAACATCCAAAGATAGTAGTCCTGGAGAGAATGATGCCTAATATAGGCAAGAGGGAAGAAAAGGAACATATCAACCTATCTGGATAACAGCTAGTAAAACCAGGTATGGATGGCATCTCAGTGATCAACCTGGAGAGCCTGGGCCCTAGGACCCCAGGTATTTGGAACTCATACAGATAGGAGTCAAAATAAACACCTAGCAGGAGAACACCTAGGGAAAATCATTTGGGGATAGAAGACCAACTCTGTGGCAGGGCAGAGATGAAAATTCACTAGTGGTATCTCAAAGACCTTTTATGTTGGAAGCAGAATTGCTGTGGTTTACGAAGGTTTTCCAAATGCATCTACCCCAGACAACTACTAACTGTGGCCTGAGACAAATCTTGGGTTATGGGTGATTTGTGGAAGTTAAGAGAATTGTATCATAATGGAAAGACATAAAAATGGAATGCCCTGGGGAAAAAATTTAAAAGTGCTGTAAAACTATCAAAGACAAGAACATCCAGGTCTATGAAAAACACAAACCTACTACGTTACCTTTTACTGATATCACACTGAAGACACTGAAACTGAGGCAATCAGGGATTCTGCCTTAACACCTTACATCAGAGAACTTTACTCTGGTCTTTCTCCAAGCACTCTCACTTCTTGGGGCAAGAAGTCCTCTGGGCCAGCACTCCCTTATATATTAAGCACCAAATACTCAGGACTCAGCAATTCTTTGACTAAATGCCCAACCTTAATTCAAGAACTAGGGGCTTATTCTTTCAGGTCTCTAATTTTGACAAGACACACAATAGGATTTCAGAATGTGATTTTTTTTTTCCAGTAGAACACAGCAGAACTGGGACTGCAGACTGAAGTGTATATACCTTTGTGATCAAAGCTCCTCAATGTGAATCAGGGGTGGCATGAGAAGAATGCATAGCTTCACAATTTCCATTCTTGTCTCAAATAAAATATTGGGAGACTATCTGCCTAAAGTATTATTTCTATGGCAACATAGCTGGGAAGGGACTGACCCCATATGCTGTTTGGCATCTGTTAGTTAATGAGAAGAGGAAGAAAACTGGGTAGATGGGATGTGTGCATCTGCTGCCTTCTGTCCTTACTATGATCCTAGGGAAAGCAGAATTACACAATACCCCTTCCTCAGTCTTCCCAAACAAGAGATAGGTTCAAAACACAAATGTGTGTTTTAAAACAACTCTCCTCACAATTAAAACTTGAGAAAGACAAAGGTGTTCATTCTCCCTCTTCTAATCAATTTTGTATTAGAAGTCCCAAGCAGAGCAAAAGAAAAGACAAAAAGAAAAATAATAGGTATACAGATAGGAAAAACGAAGTGAAATTATCTCTACCCATGCATGATATGGTCCTATGTAGAGAAAGATCAGAGAATCCTCAGGAAAATCCCCAGAGATAATAGTAGCATCTAGAAAAGTTCTATGAGGTTAATAATAACAATAATGATAAATCAACTAGGTTTTTATACATCACCAATGGAAAAGTCTGAAAGATAAATTATGGAAACTATTTCATTTATAGTAGCATCTAAGAAAAGAAAATATCTAGAAATAAATTTAACTAGGGACACGAAGGATTTCTGTTATGAAAACTGTAAAACACTATTGAAAGGTATTGAAGTACACAAAATAAGTAGAAAGATGTACTGTGTTCATGGATATGTACCATCTGGTCAGAAGCAAGCCATACCTGACTCCCCAGCAGATTTTCAGAGACAATAAATTGCACGGAATTTAATTGCCCATCTTTTTCCCATAGAGCAGTTCATGGATTTGAACCAGGTAACTTTGTGTTGGTAGCACAATTCCTTACAGTTAAGCCAGAGCTCCATGTTCATAGACAGGAAGAATTAATATTGGTAAGATGATAATATTATTCAAGGCCCTGTATAGATCCAGCACAGTCCTGGTAAAAATGTTGACAACCTTCTTTTTAGAAATATAAAGACATTTCTCTTGTGACAGGAGTCCATAAATGAAGGCTGCACAGTAAAGTGGTCTTGGGGGGAGGGATTATATAACAATGAAATAATTTTTCTCTTTTCAAAGAGAAGATCAAATTAGGGGGGAGTGGGTGGGCAGGGAGAAAAGTGCAACAGTGAATGAATGGAAATCTTAAGTTTCTGTAAACATTAAAATGAATTAAAAAAAGAAATACAAAGACATTTCTCATATTTTTATAGAATGACAAGAAGCCCTGAATACACAAAAATCACCTCAAGGTGAGTAAGAGACTTGGGAGTAAAGCCCAAAACCATAAAGTTCGTAAGAGACAAACTGGGATCAAGCTTAGAAGCTCTAATCTACAGTATAAAGAGACTGCCAAATACAGCCAGAAATATACACTCTGAGGAGGATAAAACTGTTGAATGAGACCTTCTAAAGATTAAATGCCTATGCTCATCGAAAACTTTTTCCAATAGGTTGAAAAGAAAACCTACTGACTGGGAACAGACATTTGGCAGTACCATCTCAGACAAAGAGTCTCAGAATGAAAGTTTATAGAATACTCCTGGGTCTCCACAAGAAACAGTCCGATAACCCAATTACAAAATGGGCAAAAGACATGGAAAGAATTTTCACAGAGGAAGATATTAAAATAGCCAACAGACATACAAAGAAATGCTCCAAATCACTGGCAATAAGAGAGATGCAAATCAAAGCCACAATGAGATACCATCTCACTCTAGTAGCAGTGGTAAAGTTTAACAGGACAGTAAGTAATAACTGTTGGAGAGGATAAGGTGAGATAGGAACTCTTATACATTTGTTGGTGGGATTGTACAATGGTATAACCACTCTGGAAGGCAGTTTGGCTAAAAAAGTTGAACATAGAAATTCCATATGACCCAGCTATTCCAATGCTTGGAATATACCCCAAGAAAATGAAAACTGAGGCTCAAATGTAAACTTGTACACCAATGTTCATAGCAGCATTATTCACCATCGCAAGAACATGGAAAAAGCCCAGATGTCCAACCACAAACAAATGGACTGAGAAATTGTACATTCATACAACAGAATACTACACAGCTCGCAGGAACAAGAATTTTTTAAATTACTACCTGATTTGGGAGGGACTGGAGAGCATTATGCTGAGTGAACTAAGTTTCACAGGGCAAATACTGTATAAAACTATTATTGTAGAATGAATATGAAGATCCAAGGCATGGGGGAGGGTGGGAATAGAGGGGTATGGATAGGGCGATAGGGTGTTAATCATAGGGTTGCACAATTAGATAAGACTTCAATAAAAGTGAAAATACAAGTCATGTGTTATTGTTAGGTGCTTTAGATTTGGTTCCAACTCATTGTGACTGTATGTGCAACATAACAAATCTTGGTCTGATCTTGCATCATCCTCACCAATCTCTGTTATGCTTAAAAAACAATTACTGTAGTCTCCACATGAATCTACTTCATTGAAGATCTTCCTTTTACTCATGCACTTTCCCAAACAGGATGTCCTTTTCCAAGGACTGGCCCTTCCTGACAGCCTGCCCCAAATATATGAGGTGAAGGCTCACCAAACTTCCCTTCGAAGAATCACCCTGGCACACTTCTTCCCAAACAGATTTGTTTGCTTTTTGGGCAGTCTGTGAGATATCCAGTATTCATCATTGCCTCCACAGTTCAAAGGCATCATTTAATTATTCTTCAGCCTCTTTAATTTACTGTCCAAGTTTCACATGCATATGAAAATACTGGTAATGCCATCACTTGGCTTAGGTGCACCTCAGTCTTTCGGATGACATTCTTGTTCTTAGCACTTTAAAGAGGTTCTTGGCACTTTTGGGAGCAGATCTGCCCAATGCAGTGTATTGTTTGATTTCTTGATGGCCGTTTTCATTAGTGTTGAGTGTGGATTCAAGTACAATTCAATCCTCGACAACATCAATCTTTCATCTTTTTGTTGTTGTTTATTGATCCAGTTGTGAAGACTTTGGTTTTCTTTATACTGAGCTGTAATCCACAGTGAAGACTATAATCTTTGAGCTTCATCAATACATGGTATCTAAGCAAAGGTTGTATTATCTGTATAAGACAGGTTATTGTACAACCTTGTAAGGATTGTTCTACAATCCCAATGCCACACTCTTCTTCATGCAGTTAAGCTTTTTAGATTGTTTGTTCAGCACACAGATTAAGTAGGTATGATAAAAGAATACAACTCTGACATATGCTTTTCCATATTTTAAATCTTGCAATATTCCCTTGTTCTGTTCAAACAACTGCTTATCAAACAACTGTCCACCTATTTGCATGAGCCCAACTATGTCTTCTGGAGTTCCCATTACATATTCTGGGAGAATATGCTTTGAAAGTATATAACTGATAAGAATTCATAAGCAAATAATATATATGCCTTCTATATATTTGACTATATATATCTGTATATATATCTAAATAAATATATTATCTACATCTATGTATTTATGTCAGGAAAAGATGGGCAATCTCTTTCTGTGGTATCTATAACCTCGAAAACCCTCTGGACAGTCAGCTATGAGACAATTACTGTTCAATGGCAATGAATCCAGATAGATAGATAGATAATGACGATAGATAGATAGATAGATAGATAGATAGATAGATAGATAGATAGATAGATGATAGATAGAGTGAGTGAGTAACTGGGGCAGTGGGACTTGGAGTGTTGGAATTAGTAAGACTGGCTCAGGACAGGGTAGGGTTCAGTGCTGCTGTACATATGATCACTATGCGTCGCAGGCAACTCGATGGCACATAACAACACTGTATCTATATCCGTCTGTCTGGATCTATCGTCTATCTATCTCTCTACCTATCATCTATCTACCTACACAGAGAGAGAGTGAGACAGAGAGTACATGATAGAGAACTCTGGTGGCCTAGTGGGTAGGGAGTAGCAATGTCAACACAAAGTCATATGGGTCGAATCACTAACTTATGGGAGAAATATGAGCAATCTTCTCCAATGCTATTTTCAGTCTCTAAAATCTGTTGGAGAGTCAGCTATGAGTCTATTCCAACTCAACAGCAATGAGTTTTTAGTTTACCTATCTATATTCAGATTATTAATAGCTGCAGGTTGCTTGGCTCCAGAATCAACACTCTTGGTATCAGCAGTCAGGAAATTAAAAGACAAATT